CTAGCGATCCTGCCTCCTCAGGCCTTTCTTCCGAGTTAGGGCTGAACTCAGGCATCGCCACCATGGCCGCTAAATAGTCATATCATATACGGTAGTACTGATATATATATATACTTAATACTATAGTATATTCATCGAGTTGGCCAATTAATCTTTCCGTATTTATATTTAGAGACTGGGGTCTCCTCTTGCTCAGCTGGTTTGAACTCCGTGACCCGAGCACCGCCCCGCCTCGCCTCCAGAGGCTGAGGATTCAGCAGGTGAGTCCACCGTCCGCCAGGCCTCCACCAGGGGCCTTTGCACCTGCCACATCCTCCGCTGGGAGTGCCTCCTTCCGGCTTTATTCATGGGTGGGCTCCTCCTCCTCCTCCTCCAGGCACCCCCGCCCCCCGCCAGGCCCTGTTCGCACCCTCCTCCCTGCTCCTCTCGGTCAAGGCACCTGCCGCTCCCAGAGTGTTCTTAGTAGCCACCGCTGCTTACGGGAGGAAGGGCTAGTAGCGCTTCCCTCCCTCGGCTAGGCCGGGTCCCCAGCGCCCACCACGGGGCCCGGCGTCCGGCAACTGTCCGGGCACTGCGTGGGTTCAGTACGAATGACCGACCGCGTGACAGACACTTCCACAAAAGTCACGGCGATCAGCCCCAAGCGTCACCACCACTTAAGGAGCGCCAGCGTGTGCGGGCTCCGAGCGAGCCGCCATGATCGCTGCTCTGGATCTTCCCCCCACCTGTAAGGCAGTACGGTTCCCACTGTGAATGGGTAGGCCGAGGCTGCCAGAGCGTCGCTGGCGAGCCACAGGAGGCAAGAGCGGCCAGGTCGGCCGGGCCGGCGGCTCACGCCTGTCACCCCAGCACTCTGGGAGGCCGAGGCGGGAGGATCGCTCGAGGTCAGGAGTTCGGACAGCCTGAGCAAGAGCGAGACCCCGCCTCACTTAAATAGAAGAAATTAATTGCCAAACTAAATATATATAGAAAAAATAGCCGGCGATGGCGCATGCCTGTAGTCCAGCTAGTCGGGGCTGAGGCGGAGACGCTGAGCCCGGATGTGAGTTCCTGGTGAGCGGAGGCTGACACCACGGCACTCACTCTAGCCCGGGCGACAGAGCGAGACTCTGCCTCAAAAAAACAAAAGCAGCGGCCAGGTGGAGGCCAGCATCCCGTTCCGCCTCACACTGGCAGGCAAGAGGCCCAGAGGGTCCGGCTGGCTTGCCTGAGACCCGCGGATTGGGAAACTGAGGCTGCCCCTCCCCCCAGCGCTCACCTCCGCAGGGCAGGCGGGCGGCGCCGGCAGCCTCTGGCCCTCCTCCAGCAGTTCCAGGAGGCGACACAGGGCAGGGGCGTCGCGCTCACACCCCATCATCCGCAGGAACTCCTGGGGGCCAAGGGACATGTGGCGCGGCATGGGGGAGGGTCGGGGACGCGGGCGGCGCGCCGTGGGGGGGTCGGCATGGCGAAGGAGGGTCGCCCCACTGAGGCCTCCACCGCCCGTACCGGGGACGCCAAGCTGAAGCGGGGCGCAGGCGCGGGCAGGTGGCGCGTGGCATGAGGGGCCGGAGGGAGGGAGGCCAGGAGGGAGGCCGGGTGGGAGGCCGGGTGGGAGGTCGGTGGGGCCGGGAGGGAGGCCGGTGGGGCCGGGAGGGAGGCCGGGAGGGAGGCCGGTGGGGCCGGGATGGAGGCCGGGAGGGAGGTCGGTGGGGCCGGGAGGGAGGCCGGTGGGGCCGGGACTCACGGCCGAGGGGCTGCAGCCCTTGTCGCTGTAGGTGAACAGCTCGTACAGGACGACGCCGAAGCTCCACACGTCGGACTGGCGCGAGAACACGTTGTCCGAGAGCGACTCGGGGGCGTACCTGGCGCGGGGCGGATGGGCCTTGAGGCCGGGGCGGGGCAGGAGGGGCGGCCTCGGAACGGGCATCGGCGGCTGCGGGACGGTGGGTCCCGGCCCGGGGACTCGCTGCCCCAGCTGTGGGGATGCGTGGGTTCTCCGACCCACCCTGTGACACGCCAGGAAGGGACGGGGCCAGCGCTGGGGGCGGGGCCAGGGCAGGTGGATGGGGCGGGGCCAGGCCACTGGGTGGGGCTAGGCAGGGGGAGAGGCTGGAGCTCAGAAAGGGTGGGGCTAAGGATGAGGGCGGAGCTGGGGTGGAGCCAGGACAGGTGGAGGGGCGTGGCCAGACCTCTGGGCGGGGCTAGGCAGGGGAGAGGCTGGAGCTGAGAAAGGGCGGGGCTGATGAGGGTGGAGTGAGGACAGGTGGAGGGGCGTGGCCAGACTGCTGGGTGGGGCTAGGCAGGGGGAGAGGCTGGAGCTGAGAAGGGGTGGGCCTAAGGATGAGGGCGGAGCTGGGGCAAAGCCAGGACAGGTGGAGGGGTGTGGCCAGACCGCTGGGCGGGGCTAGGCAGGGGGAGAGGCTGGAGCTGAGAAGGGGTGGGGCTAAGGATGAGGGCGGAGCTGGGACGGAGCCAGGACAGGTGGAGGGGCGTGGCCAGACCGCTGGGCGGGACTATGCAGGGGGAGAGGCTGGCGCTGAGAAGGGGCAGGGTTAAGGATGGGGGCGGAGCCGGGGCGGAGCCAGGACAGGTGGAGGGGCGAGGCCAGAACACTGGGCGGGACTAGGCAAGATGGAGGGGAGGGGCGGGAGCAGGGATTGGGCGGGGCCATGGCTGGGGGCGGGGCCAAGACGTGGGCGGGAGGGGCAGGGTCCCCGCGTGGGTCCCCACCAGAAGATGGGGCTCTGGCCGGGCTCGCGGACCACGTAGTAGTCTTTGTCGAGCGGCAGCAGCTTGGCCAGGCCAAAGTCGGCGATCTTGACGTGCACCTCACTCTCCACCAGGATGTTGCGGGCGGCCAGGTCGCGGTGCACGCAGCGGCGGGAGCCCAGGTACTCCATGCCCTGCGCGCCGCGCGGGGTGAACATGCAGAGGGAGCCCGGGCATGGTCCGGCGGGGACCCCAAGCCTGACTTGGCATCTGAGCCCAGGCCCCCCCATCCGCAGCCGGGACCCGCCCTCCACCACTCCGCCCGCCACCGAGCCCCGCACCTTGCAGATCTGCGAGGCGTAGAGGAGCAGCCGGCCGGCGTCCAGGCGCGCGCGGTGCCGCTGCAGGAAGTCGCGCAGGCAGCCGCTGGGCAGGTACTCCATGACCAGCCGCAGGCTCTGGCGGCCTGGAGGGGGCGGGAGGGGTCACCGCAGGGCCCAGCCCCGACTGCTCCCCTCCTTCTCACCCCCATTCCCCGCGGCACCTTGTGTGCCTGCAGACCTCAGCGTTGCTGTCTGTGAAATGGGAACCGGGACAATGACACTTCTTGCTGATAGCTTCTAAGCATCTTCCACAACATACACTGCCTCGTTTAAATACCACATGAACCCACTTCTCAGCTGGGGAAACCGAGGCTCAGAGAGGTTTAAACTGCCTGCTCAAGGCTGCCCAGCCGGTAAGAAGTGGAGTCAGAGGCCGGGCGCGGTGGCTCACGCCTGTCACCCTAGCACTCTGGGAGGCCGAGGCAAGAGGATCACTCGAGGTCAGGAGTTCGAAACCAGCC